TATATATATATATATATATTCATTCCGGCCTTCCGATTCCTAGAAGGAGCCCCGGCCGGGCTCCAAAACGTGAAAAAGAAGGCGCTCTCGGATTATTCACTCTGAGGCCACGGGCTGGTCCCAGTGCTTGATCGCCTCGGAGGCTGCCTGCAGGCCGCCCTGCTTCGCCTCGAGAACAGGAGGTGAGAAAAGGACCCCCCCCCCGGGTTTTTTCGGTGCCTGCCGCCTTTTGCCGCTCTCTCTGTTGGGTCAATGTGGATTAATTGCTACACTGCTTCTGGGTCAACGCGGATTACACTCTTGGCTCTCCACTAGAGTCCAACGCAGTTTGAGTGCCCGGTCGTCGTTGCGTTGCTTTCGTTTCGTGCTCCAGAGCTGCAGTGCTCTTTGCGCATCCCTGTCACAGCTGCAGTCGAGGCGCCTCCCAGGAGTCCGAGTCCAAAGACTCCAGCGCCAGTTTCTCGACCTCTCCACGGGCCCAAAAAAGCCCGGAACGAAGCCGAAGGTCAAAACCCCCACACTCGGAACCACCCAGCCGGAGCCTCTTCGGAATGATACCGACCAGCTCTCATGGCCTCCGCGACGGATCTCTCTGCCGTAGCTTCGACGGCCGAAGAGCTCTCACGACGATGCAGCGCCGCGCGATCCGCCCGCGCGCGCGCCTCGATCAGCAGCTCGAGGGATCGCTCGCGCGTCAGGCCTGGGTTGGGGCCGGGGAGGCAGAAAGGGGGAACAACGGCACTGACGTCGGCAACACACACAGACACAGACAGACAGACGGACACAGACACACACATGTCAATGCAGCCCATTTAAACCACAGGAGTGCTTTGACGTGATGCGTGATTACAGTATCAGGTGGTAAGCAGGAAGAAGCCTCTCGATCACCAGCGTTGTGCTGTAAAGTCCAGCAAAATAAGGACTCTTATGTTATTGCACTTCGGAGCAGAGTGAGTGGGACTTGCACCGAATCCCTCCCGTGAGCTTTGCAACGTGCATTCGGACTGCCAACGTCTGCCCGAAATCCGGGAAAAGACCCCGCAGTCTAGGTCCCATGCTCTTGAAGTCGCGCAATCCCTCGAAGACCTGGCTGTCTTTGAGGGAATATCGGAATCCACTCCCCGGCTTGAACTCCCAAGCCTCCACTGCTGATCCTGCACCTCGAGGAGTGTCAGACAGAAAAAAGCGACCAAGGCAAAGCATCGAAATGCATCCAACGTATCCACTTCCACAGGGCCTTCCACGAACGTCATGGCTGCCAGAAGCCGCTGCGCTCGAACTTCAGCACTTCGTACTGTCTTCACTTGTGCGCCATGTCGTACTTCAAATTGAGGTTGACGTGCTGACTGGAAGCTTGAAGGATTGAGCTCGCACAATACGCTTGCGAGTTCCATGCCGCTTGATCCGTAAGCTAAACACCGGCAGCAGATTCGAGGAAGCCTGCACTTGCTTCTCTGCCGCCCTGCATGGCCTTTGGGCGAAAGCCGTCCCCATGGCTCCCACTCCGGGTTGCACCACGGCCGGCACGGGCGCCCAGGAAGCAAGCGGTGCCTCAATCTCTCGAAACGTTGCTCTCGCAAGTCTTGCTGTCTCGGGCCTCGTGATTTCCGAGCCCCGGGCCTTAACTGGCGTGTCAGAGAGCTGTGCGATGTAGGAGCTCAGGCCCTGCGTTGTCTTGTAGGAGTCTAGTCTCTTAATTGCATAAAAGGCAGACAGAAATTCGACACGGGGGGGCGGGGGGTTCTTTTTGCTCAGGGCTCTCTCCTTCAAGGACTCGCGGATGCCACTCCACTGATCCTACAGGACCCGAGACGGGGCGGGCAACGGCGCGCAACTCGGTTTAAAGGAGCGGCGGTTCAAATTTAGGCCATCCTCGGCTGCCAAGGCCTCGGCCAGCAAGGCCCCTGCCAGGAAGTCCACGGCACTTCGTTCTGCTTCGCTCTCTGCTTCTTTCGGCTTTCTGCGCCTGTGCCCAGGCCGGGCTTCGTCCGTCTCGGCGCCTCCGAGCAGACCAGCACGGACTTGCGACCGCCAAAAACAGCCCCGGCTCTGGCCCGGCGCCTTGGAGACGCCCAGGGGCTCCGTTCCGGCCGTTCCGGTTCCGGGCAGCTTCGAGGGCTTCAGCTGCGGCGCTTTCTGCTCGCGCCCCCTTCGGCCTCCGAGTCAGAGAAGAAGACGATCGTGAAATCTGCGCCCCTTCTTCGCGCGAAAGAGGCCGAAGAAGGTGCTAAGAGCAGCAGAGAGTATACGGAAGAGCAGAGGAGGGCTGAGGAGGGGAAGTGAATCGGCTTTGCAGGCCTGCAAACCGGCGATTCTCCTGCTGCCCCTGCCCCTGCCAAGAAGTGTGGCAAAGGGAAGGGGGGGCCCAGTCCAAGAGTCTAAGCTGCTGGCTGAGCGTCGTATGAGCCGGCCTCCCGAGCAGAGCACACCCCGGACTTCGTACAACACCAACAGGGTTTAGGATGTTTTAGGAAGTTGAAGCCCGAGTCCGAGGCCTCCCAGTCGCGAAGAGAGCTCGGAAGTGGGATTCCGGACCTTTCCCGGAGCCGGGGCTCTTGTTCTCGCAGATGCGATGGAAACCGAAGGCCTGCAGCCCAAAGCCCTTAAAGCCCCCCCTCCCTGCCTTCTCGGTGACTCCTGTTCGCGCGGGGACGCATGACATTTCCGAAGGGCCATTCCGAACGAAGGCCCAGAGTGTGTGGTATGATGCCCCATGCAGCGCCTTCCCCCATGAAGAGCGCTTCCTCAGCCATGGTCACCTCGAAACTCTCAGAACGGGGAAGGTCTTAATCTGTTTGGGGAGTTGGGGTGTTGGGACGCTGCGAGACGCTTTTTGTGGGCTTTTTTTCCTGGAGTCTCTCGGTGCGGCCCTCGCAAGGGCGAAAAGCTTGTGCAAGGGTCCTTGCCGCTGCTTAAATGTCTCGCGGGTCTCTAGAAAGGCGCCTCGCTGAGTCACCTGAGACCCAGCTGTCCTGGCAGGAAGACCAGGAAGGTCCCGAAGACCAGGAAGCCGAACAAGTAGAGCAGAGTCTTCACGCCCTCGCCATCCTCATCACCTGCAGCTTCTCTGGCTCAGATACGCAGGGAAGAAGAAGTCTGAGCGAGCTCGAGTCTCAGTCGCTAGCCGAGTCGCCTCTGGACTGTTCGATGGCCGCCTTCTTGTTGAGAGCTTCTTGCTGGGTTTTCATGTCGCGCCACCAGTTCCTTTCCCACTCGGTGGCTCCCATCTCCTCAGAATACAGGCCACATCCAGGCCGAAGTGTCCCCCCCCCCGCCCATAACACGAGGCCTCGGGGTTGATGTCGCTGCCATCATAAGCTCCCCCAGGTTTCACGGCGGGCTTTGAGTCGCCTCCTTGCAAGCAGCGGGTGTGCAGGAGGCGCCTGCTTGCTGCTTCGAAGACCGTGCCTAAGAAGTCGAGGTCGGGGAGCAGCTTCAGCAACGCCACCGCCGCCGCCAGGAGGACAAACAGCTTCGAGGCTCGAAATCCTTACGCGGTAATCTCAGTTGACAGTGGCTATCGCTGTGTCTCGCAGACCCCGAGGACTTGGAAACGCTTTCATTTGCGGACAAAGCTCGCATCGCGTCTTAGTTCCAGGTGGAAGCGATGGCTGTCTGTGTCCCTTCTTAGAGCCCGGTAGTTGCGGTTCATCACACTGTGCAGCACCACCATACGGCACCAAGACAGATCGATAGAGCTACGCAGACATCATCAGCATCAGCTTTCTATACGAGTATTTTGAGGTGGCTGCCAACACACCCGGTGATGGAGACCGCGCTGCGGCAGAAGCGAGAGGTTCTCTGGCCTCACACGAAGGCAAGCAAGGCCGCGGGAGACAAGACTCGCGAGGGCTGCGCCAAGCCCGTGAGGAACTCCTCAATGATGTCCTTCCGAGACCGTGCGCCATTGCGCATGCGACGCGTGAAGTAGTTATACTGCAGCGCATGGACCGATTCTCGAAATATGTTGGGACTAGAAAAGCGGCGTCACAGCCGAGCGCGCCTCAGCCTGCTCACTGCGCTCAGCCTGGGACAACGCGCAGCGAGCCGAACGTGCGACAGGAATCCTAAAGAGCCCTTTAAAGAGAGCCCTTTAAGGGCTACTGTAGGTAAGGTGCGGGCTTTTCGGGGCCTCGACTTCTCCTCACGGCTTGTCTTGTCGGCGTGTGACGAGAGCCTTTGAACTGAGACCAAGGCTCTCGGAGTGCGTGCCGCCGGGCGAAGCCGTGCACGTGCCCTGGCGACTCAGCGAGCGCCCGACTCAGAGCTCCCCGGAAGCTCCCGGGCCACATGCCGTGCATAGTGGGGCTAATAGTGGGGCATAGGGACTTCTTGAAACCGTCGTGCCTGGGCCAGCCGGGAGTGTTGCCGGTGAAAGCCAGGACCGCTGAGTGGGAGCGGCCGGCGGCCACGGCGACCTCGCTCTCAGAGATAGAGAGCCCCGGGCCCCCAAACCACAGAAAGGCCGACTCTCCGTTTTTTCTCGGCCGAGTCGTGCGCGGCGCGGTGAGGCGATGGCGGCGAGAAGTCGCCGAGTTTCAAGGGCCTACAGCTGCAAACATCGCGTGTCCTAAGACCCAGCTGCAAGAGCATGCAAGCAGCAGAGGCCTTAGATTCGACTGTCGTTCGCTTCAACCTCTTACATCCCTGCCCGAAGTTAAGGAGAGATTTTGAGCCGTCTGCTCAATGTAGGCAGTGCGGGTTTCGGCTTCCGTGTTGTGCTCCAGTTTCCATGCACACGTCGCTGGCTCCTTGGATTAATGATTCATGGAAACAAGCGAACCTTGGAGAGTCAAGCAAGGAAAGGACGGATACGCATGAAATGCTTGATGCTGTCCGGTGCATGCTGAAGCTCTCTGCGGAAGCCCTGAAACTCTGGACTGCAGCCACATCGCGCCTGGCTTGCGACTCAAAGGCAGCCTCAGGGAAGCTGGAATGGCCCGGCAGTTGCAGCCGAAAGCTTGGGCTTTCACGTTAGGTCCACACTGCCTGGCAGCGGAGCTGACTCATTTCATGGGCCGCCCCTGCCCTGCATCGCATGAGTCAAAAGCTGGCAGAAGCGTGACCGGCTCCACCCCGAGGAGGCGCAGCCCCAAGCCCACACCGTCGCCTGCAGAGCGCGCAGAGAGCACGCAGGCACCGCGCAGGCCGTGGCCGGGCCCAACTTTCTGGGGCCTGGCGGGCCTGGCCCTCAGCCTCGCCATCCATCTGCGTCAAGCAGATCACATGGTTGGTCCCACTCTCCACTGCCGCGATGACCTCAGACGATCACGCGGATCACGCGGAGCGGAGAGGAGAGGGAAGCGACAAAAAGCAATCCTGGGCGGGGGAAGGGGGAAGGCGGCGCGCCTCGTCTTCCGCCAGGGGGATCTGGACGGAGACGGGCGTGAAGGCCTGGCTCGCGTCGATCCCGAGCTGTCCGTACTGGTTGCCACCTCGGCCCACTGCCAAGAGCGAAGAGGAGCGGTTTGGGAAACACAGAGTGGGGCTGGCGCCGCAAGCGAAGAGCTCCTGCCCAGAGTCCACCACGAAGAGGCTGAAGTTGGCCCCTCAAGACAAAGAAGCGACACGAGCGCTCGCACTCGCTTTCTCTCGGAGCTCCCCACGGGCCCTGTGTGCACGGGCCCTCTCGGGTCTCGGCCAGCGCTGGCCGCGCTGACGGGCTTCGCCAAGGCGACCTCAGCAGAGAGGAAAGCGCAAGGGCCCCACGCCCCACGGCAACTCCGAAGGAATCATTGGACGACGAGCGATGGCCATTGCACTGCTACTGCCATCCTTGCAACCTTGGCCCGGAACTCGCTGCGGGCTGGGCCGCTTGCAAGCGCCACCAAGTCCAAGCCTGGAGTGGTGGCTTGGGGAGTGTTGGACACTCCACCGAACCCGCCGCAGTTTCTTGGAGCCTTCCGTTCCCGCCGTGGCCCCAAGCGAAGGCGGCGCCTCTCCGAGGAAGAGAGGAGAGGACGACGCATGTGCTTCGCTATACTGGATGCAGCAGGCTCCTGCCGCATCCCAGGCGAGAGAGTGACACGCACCGGCCGCAACACCTCTCGAGGGCACGCGAGGCGAGGCCGGCGAGGGGAGGGGAGAGACGTGAAGGAGCCTACCGGCCTACCGCCATGGCTGATGACGGAAGGGGGATCGCTGCGGTTCCACCTGCAGCATGGGCTTTGGGACAATCTCAAGGATTCTTGCAGTTCTATATCTACTCAAGGAGAGCTGCACTCTTTTGTCAGAACATGGGCGGCGCGCACCAAGAATTTCATCTCCAGGGACAGTGACACACATGTTACAGCAACCAGATCGGGTGAACGACAATGGCCTTGTCACTTGCGGCCCTGTGAGTCGGAGCTGTGATACTTCCTCCAACCTCCGTTCCAGAAGTACCACTCGCCCTTCCAGTAGGACCAGGGCGTGTTTGGATTTGTGCTGGAGGTCTGGCTCTGGCCCGCATTGCTGGAGGTGGGCCGGCCCAGTTCTCGGGCCAGCTCTTCCAGGCATGGCTTCATCCGGATGTCCATGGAACCGCCGAGCGGCCCGTTCAAACAGGACAGCAACAGTTCACGACTAAAGGTGATGCCGGCATTGGTATAGACCTTCTTGACCTCCGCAACGCC